CGAGTCGAGTCGAGTCGAGTCGAGTCGAGTCGAGTCGGTTCAGCATGATCCGTAGCATCGTCTCGGGGCGCTTTCGTGGCCCAATCGCAGTCCAATCGAGGCGATGGAATTGCCGCTTGCGGGCATCACGGGCGACGCCACAATCGCAGGCCGGGCGCATGCAGGCTTTGAAGCCGAGCATAGGCACCCGCCTGGCAGTCGTGCATTCCATTGTCGCTGCAGAGCGGAAGCCGCAAAGGGTGGGCACCTTCATCACAAGCTTCATCGGCAGAACATCTCGCCGTCGTTGCTTCGGTAGGTCTTCAGGTCGATTCGCGGCAATGGCTCGCACAGAGGTGGGAGTGCACACCAGTCGGAGGGAGGTATCGTCGAACAGCCAATCGAGGCGCCGTATCGACCGCCAGCAGACCCTAGGCTCTCCAAGCGACCTTGCATTGGGGTGGTAGGGTCCGAGCCAGAACAGTCCGCTGCAGCCACACGGCGCCCGACAACTTAGAAAGGTCGCAGTCGCTCGTTCCCAAGGGTCGTTCATCTCCGTCGTGATCTCTTTCCTCCATGTCGTCATACGCCTGTCACCACACGTGACGCCAGTGTCGTTTCGTTCAATGTGCAAAAGATATCGGAGGTCGGTCGGTGGTTGTTCAGCACACAAAACAGACTTTCCGAACGTTTCATCACCATCAATCCGCCCAGGCGCAACCCGGAGCTGAATCAAAAGCTTCAAAAAACCACGGAAAGGCGAATTGTCACCGAACGCGCACACGGCTCTGACTCGGCGAGCGGCCAGCCGGTCCCCTGGATCTCGACGTAGGAGATCCGGATCGCAGGCCAGCCCCGCAGCACCCGCGAGCCTGCAATTCGCTAGAATAGCGAGCTCGCAAATGCCCCTTCTCACTGGTCGCGGTCCACGCCACCGATCGGTGCTGCCAGACGGCGATGCTGTCCGACCGACGACGGGATCTCGCCTCGTTGTGGATGGCTGTCTCCCGTGCTTCCACTCTGCATGTAGAGCGGCTTGGCAAGGCTGATCGACGCGGCTCGTACTGCTACTGCTGCTGCTGCTGCTCTCCCGGAAATTAATCGAGACCGTACAAGGTTGGACGGTGCGTGGCCGAGGGACAGAGGGGTGCGGACGTGGTCCGCATCATGACCCGCGCATGTAGGCACTCCTATCACGGCCCATCGGTTCGACGCGATGCACCGATCGGGGAGGCGAGGCTGCGGGAGCAGCGTGCGAGGCAACTCTGTGTGGCGCCATGTTTTTCGTCATCACGGACGTGGCGAGTGGAGGCCGGCAAGGGCCTGCAAGGCGGCTTGGTCGGTGTGCCGAGTGTGATGGCGGTAGAGGGCGACTCACCTTGAAGAGAAGCATTTTGGACGTGTTGCTGCAGCCCTCAGTAGAGGACGGAGGCGGCGACGCGGTATCGGCCGGCGGTGTCTTGGATGTCGAAGGTGGCCGGCGCAAAGTAGGTGTTGTGCCACCTGCGCACGAGGCGATTCGCCTCGAAAGCGGACTGGCAACGGACGATAAAGGAGGTGGTGGTTGCGTCAGGATGGGCCTTGGGCAGTTTGAGCACGCCGCCGAGGACGACGTCGTGCGAGCCTCCGTAGCCCTTCTTGTCGTGAAAATAGCCGGGGTATGCGGTGCGCTTGCCACGCCATCGGTCCTGCTGGCGAAGGTCGTAGCGGGAGGCGAGGCGTTCTTCGAGGCGCGCTTCAAACGTGTCCTGGGGGATGTTGCGGAGGAGCACGAGGGTGCCACGCTCGTACTCGATGAGGTCGAGCGGGAGCTGATAGTGCCAGGGCCAGGAGGCATAGTGGGACTGGAGGAAGGCGTCGCGACGTTCTGCGGACTGGAGGCGCGCTTGGACCTGGCGCCCGCCGAGGATGCGTCCCTGCACGGTTTCCTCGAAGGTGCGTGCGTGGCCGGCGTTGGAGAAAGATGCGATGGCTCTGCCGGACGGACGCATGGACTTGGTGTAGAGGAATTCGATGCGGGCGAGATCGTTTCTGGTCTTGCCGAGGGCGAGCGAGCGGATGTCGGAGGGCGTGGCGGTGGGCGGCAGGCTGCTCAGCACCACATCCTTGTACTGCTGGGGTCTGCTGGGCTTGTCGATCTGCTGGATCGCATTGGTAAGCTGTGCTGATTCGAAACGGTCGTTGGCGGGCGTGGCGGCTGTGGATACGAGCGAACGATTCGGCCTGCTGAAGCAAGCACGGGCCGGCGCGGCGACGGCAGGAGCGCCGAAGGCCAACAAGGCTGAGACGCGGATGGATGCGAGCGACCCAGGGCGAGGTGATGGCGCCCCGAGAAGCGCCATGGCAGGCGCCACCATGGAGAGACGAAGAAAGGAGGGGCGTGGAGATCGAGATGATGATGGTGGCAGCTGGGCGAGAGGCGGGCTTGGATGGCTGGACGGATTTGGCTGAGTCGCCGCCGAAATTTCGAGGACCCTTTCCGATCGAGCCCGATGCCGGTTTGTATCCCGATGCGATCCCGATCGAAAGGGATGAGATTTACGCGTAAAGAGAGCCAAAACACGCCGCCTCAGAAGAGAACAACACAGGCATCGATCCCTCCCATCAGCCCACCACCACCACCACCATCATCATCCCACTTGAACACAGGCGACAAGGAAAGACGACGACGCTGCAGCAGCGATTCATCACCGCGTTGGAATAGGCGCGCCACATTAGCGCCTGCTACGCCTCACGCAACCACAGCACCGACTCGACTGCACCCCAACACCAACACAACACGCCATGGACGGACGTCGAGTCTCGTCCGCAGGCTCGGGCATCCCCATGCGCTCGGGTATCCCGCGCCCAGGTGGAAACGCTGCAGGCTCGGGCGTCGAGTCTGGTCTTCCCCGACCGTCTTCGCGAATGGGTGCGAACGCTGCGCCTGCAGCTGGTGGCGCACGTCCCGGCTCGGCTGCTGGTCCCATGGGCGCATACCGTTCTTCAGGTGGAGGCGCGGCAGCGGGCAGGAGCTCGATGGGCGCTGCTGGTGCATCCGCTGCATCGGCCTCGCTGCTGCGACAGCCTCCCGCCAGTGCAGCACCTGCGTCGCGCACCTACGGAGGCCTCGCCGGTCGCATCAGCACGCTCGCAGCACGACCCCTGGACGCCAACACCTCGTCCAACATGCTCGGACTCAATGGCGACGATACCGCGTCCGCATCCATGCTGCTCGACACCTCGATCGGCGGCGGCGGCGCACACAAGCGTACCGTCTCGGCGGCCGGTCTGGGCGACGACAGCATGTCGTTCAGCAGCGCAGCCATCAAGCGGCCGCACCTGCGCAAGCTCAGCATGGACGGCACGTCGCCGCTGCTGCTGCAGGCGGAGCTGCATCCGGCGTCGACGCCGCGCCCCGAGTCGCCCGCGTACGAGATTGCGGTGCTGCGGACCAACTACGACCAGCAGCTGCTGGCCGAGGCGCGCAGGTACAAGAAGCTCGAGCAGGACTACGAGGCCAAGTGCAAGGAGCTCGACCGGTTCAACCGGCAGCGGGTGGAGCTGCTCGACGAGTGGGACAAGCAGCAGGAGGCGTCGCGCACGCATCAGGTGGAGTGCTCCGCCAAGCGCCAGTCGCTCGAGGACGAGGTGGTGCGGCTGCGCACGCTCAATTCGGAACTCACGCATCGCGCCGACGAGCTTGCCTCGTCGTCGACCGGCCAGCTGGCCGAATTGCGCAGCAGGGTGACGGAGCTCGAGGCTGAGGTGGCGCGCGTGCGTGGCGAGGCTTCGGCAGCGCAGACGAGGGCGAGGACGCTGGAGGACGAGGTGGGGGCCAACAAGGCGGAGCTGGAGGATCTGCAGAATGCGCTCGAGGACGAGCAGCGGATGCGCCGACAAGAACGCGACGAGGCGCGGCTGGGTGGGGGAGAGGAGGGCAGGAAGATCGCCGAGGAGCTGGCGCGTCAGGTGTCGCATGTGCGCAAGCTCGAGGCGGACACGGCGCATCTGACGGCGGAGAACGCGCGGCTGTCGCACCATGCCAGCAACGTGGAGCTG